CGATCGAGAACTCGTTCTCCTTGCTCCAGGAAAAGGGTTTCACGAAACCATCCGTGTCGACGTTGTTGTTCTTCTCGGTGGCAGGTAGGGGGCGCCGATCACTGCCGGCGGTCTCCGTGCGCGCGGGCATCGCGTCGTCATTGGTCGGCGCATCCTGTTGGCGGCGGCCGAGGAAAGAAAACAAGTGGCGCCGGTGAGAAGCGCGAGTGATTGCGACAACGATGAAAACATGGGAGGGGGGGTTGAACTCAACAATGACGTAACTCAACAATGACGTAACCCAATGATCGATGCTCTTGGTTTCTAGTAAGATTCTCTCAAAGTTCGAGATTTCAATGAAAGCATAAAAACACCAAAACTAATCACTAAAACTCGAAAATAATTAATTATCATCGGACATCGTCGGATAATATAAGACACATGCGCGACGAATCCAAAACCATTTCTGACGCAACAGCATCGACAAGCAAGCTGATGCTGAAACTGCCGCATCTGCAATGATTTAGCTAAGATAATTAGCTAGATAATTCTTTCGACTTAGCTCCCAATTAAACGATCACGTTATTACAATTATTAATTAAGTAAATAAATGTAATAAATAATGATAAATGTATAAAATAATGATCATTAATAGTAATTAAACGATCACGTTGTTACGATGCATGGACAGGAAGGACGGAGTCGCGATTGGAGACACCGATCACCAGCATACTAGTGACATCGCTGCTAGGTTCAATGTAGAGAGAGAGAGAGAGAGAGAGAGAGAGAGAGCTGGCAGCTGAATCTGACGCATGCACACGTTCCCCTGTCCTTCACCCGGTGTTGTCAGCATTCACCTGTAGCATGCCTATATACGTACACACACACACGCACGTACACACACACGCACGCACGCACATACCTCCCCCGTCACGCACGCCCGGTGAGGCGGAACACACCCCAGAGAGAGAGAGAAAGAGGGGGAGAGGGTGAGTGTGTGTGAGAGAGAAGGGCTGAGAGGGTGAGTGTGTGAGAGAGAAGGGCAGAGACAGTCAGTGTGTGAGGGAGAAGGGGAGATAGAAAAGGGCAGAGAGAGAGAGAAGGGGAGAGAGAGAGAGAGAGAAGGGCAGAGAGAGAGAGAGAAGGGCAGCGAGAGTGAAAGTCAGCAAGAAACGAGGGGAGAGAGAGAGGGGGAAAAGGAGAGAGTAGAGAGGGAGAGAGGGTACACAATCATAGAACATGCTACATGAACCGATAACACATGGAAGCTACACACACACATGGAGACACAATAACATCTGACTACAGACTTCTATGACCGACACGACCGTACATATCCCAGCATCCGACCACATACACCCAGCATCCGACCATGCGATGTCATCCCACGACGCATCCACGAGACACCGACGCAACACAACTCTCATGTGTTAGTAGTTACACCCGCCCCCCTACGGCACCAGCACGGCACGCACGCACGCACGCAATCGTCACGGCACGCACGCCAGTTAATCTGCATGAACATAGCCTTCTCCTGATGGGTTTGCAAGGCTGACGCGTCTGGCCCAGTCGTCCACTGTGCCGGCGGTTCCGGATGTTGCACGCATGGCCACTGTAAAGCTGCAAATTAAAGCTACCGGTGCCATTAGCCAGTGTCAGTCAGCCGCAGCGGATTGGTCATCCAGGCTCGCACGGACGGTCAGTACAGCCGCAAGAGCGGTCCAGCCCAGCCGCACGGATGGTCAGTCCAAGCCGCTCGATGGCAGTGACCAGTTGGCACGGAACGGTCCAGTCCAGCTACACTGACGGTGCCAGTCGCAGCTGCACTGGACGATGCAGTCCAGCCGCACGGACGTCAAGTCCAGCTATCACGGCCGTCAAGTCCAGCTGTACAGCGGACGGTCCCCGTCGCAGCGTACACAGACTAGTCAGTCCAGCTACACGGATGGTCAGTCAGCTACACAGACAGTCAGCGCCAGTCTACACAGACAGTCAGTCCAGCTACACAGACAGTCAGTCGCAGCTAACACGACACAGTCAGTCCAGCTACAGCGGAGCGGTCAGTCCAGCCGCTCGGACGGTCAGTCCAGCTACACGGCACGGTCCAGTCCAGCTACACAGACGTCAGCCCAGCTACACGAATGCAGTCAGCTACAGCGGACGGTCAGTCCAGCTACACAGACAGTCAGCACCAGCTACAGCAGACAGTCTAGTCGTCAGCTACATCACAGACAGTCAGTCCAGTGCTACACGGACGGTCAGCCCAGCTTACACCAGACAGTCAGTCCAAGCCTACCAGATCAGTCAGTCCAGCTACACGGACGGTCCGTCCAGCCGTAGACGGTCATCCAGCTACACAGAGCAGTCAGCCCAGCTACCAGAGCAGTCAGTCCAGCTACATACGGACGGTCAGATCCAGCCGCAGCGTGACGGGTCAGTGCAGCTACACAGGACGGTCAGTTCCACGCAGCGGACGGTCAGTCCACGCTACACGGACGGTCAGCCCAGCACATGGACGGTCCAGTCCAGCTGACGACGGACGGTCAGTCCAGCGCGCACGAGGTCAGTCCAGCCGGATCAGATTGGACGGCACGGACCGGAGGTAACAACCCTCCGGTAATGGGACGTAAAACAACTGTAGAGAGCGGCTGTAAAACACTGGTGTAACAAGCCCCTTTGTGTCCAAGCGTTGACCTCGTGACGCTCAATCAAATCAAGGTTGCCCTCCGCCTTCGCCAGCTAGCGATGCAGGACAGGGGATGGCAGTGAAAGGGTCGCAAAGCAGTTGCGGGAGCATGTGACGCTCTGAAAACTTAAAAGCCAATTAGTAATAGGTTAACATCAGGATATAAACTACTACAACTAGCAGCAGG